CTGGGTTAGTTAGACAAGGAGTGTATCCGAAGAATTTTGCCAAGTGAACCCTGAGTGAGCGCTACCGTAGATCCGATCTCGGACTGAACAATGCCATGGATATTGGGAGCTTAAGGTCCTAATGACTGGCTGCACATGTGCAAGCACGTTAGCCACCATGTAACTGTGCGAGCTATCGACGAGGATTGGAAAGTAGTTTGTGTTACAGTGATTTTTCGTTCTTTTTTCTAAATTATCTAATGGGTATTCGGCATCCGACGCAAGACGTTGAGCATATGGTGTTGGCATGTCAGCAGCGGGCAAGTGGAAGAGGCAACTCTCTCCGACAAGCTAAAGACAGGTCATTTGAGCAATGATTAACAGCCCAGAAGATGTGGCTAGAATCACATGGCGGATACCTAGCAAAGGATGGATAAAGCAGTCCCGACTTGCCCTGCAAGTCGAGGTGGCAAGATAGCTGCACACGCAAGTAAAATCTGATACAAAAAAATTCGAGGTAGCAATATCGGATAAAATAGATCGATGTGGGGGGGGGAGAGGACGGAATCCACCTTTCCTGAAGGTAAACTCAACAATTTGATCGCAATGTAAAGAGGCAAGACGCTTTTCTCCTTTGCCAAGAACGAAGCTAGTCACCTGCACAGTCCCAAAGGGCGCCTGATGGGGTCAAATGAGTTCAAATTCAACGGGTATTCGGAATCTTAGCCACGACACGTGATCAGTGCTTTGTGAAGATGTTGGATGTCTCTACTGACGTCGGAGATACGCATACTCTGGGTTTCATTCGCAGAAAACACCATGAGATATGTCTGTTTATACCGAGAGAGTGACTCTCGTCCGTGAGTAACGACGGAAGGGAAGTCTCAAAACCTTTGATCGTCAGAGCCCGCCTTTTTCACTCGCGTACACTGGGTGCACGAGGGATTTGGCAAAGTATTACTGGATTCGAACCAGCGATCTCCCATCTCGAGTGGGAAAGGTATCAAAGCTATCTAGACTCTACCTATCAGAGAGTGTGTGAATGTGTTTATTGTGACACTTGGGTCATAGACTATCTAGCAGATTGAACTCCTCTCTAGCCCAGGCCACACCTTTTACAGTGCTCCTTGCCTCTTTTGTTACTTGTAAGATCATTGATATATTGCCCGTGATGAGTAGCCATTCAGCTCAGTGTTTACCCGTGGAATTCGGCCACCTTTTCCACTGAACCTTCTACCTAAAAAATGGTAATGGTGGAAAAAGTCTCAAAAAATCTACAGCCCCAGCCAGGCGAGGCCTAGACACGGGGACCATGTGAGGTGCGTATATTCATCTGTATCTCCCTTCTTCGTAACATTGGAGGCCGACTTGATCCAATCCACCATCGTCGTACCGGATACTGGGTGCGCTCCGAAAACTTACCAGATTGCTACTCGTCCAAGGCCAAGAGAAGGTGATAAATAGGGCTTCAACCCTACAATCTGATCTGGTAGTGGTTAGCTTCATGATAATGGTGATAGGGGAACGTGTTGAGAGATGAAGACGATATAGACGGCGAGAGTGATTTGGAATCCTCGTCGAAGTGATGACTTTGTTACTCAATCTCGGCTCTGCCGACTCTACAGTGAGAGCCGGAGGTTCGTAGGGGACACCGCTAATAAGTGTTGAGAATAGTCCCACATTGGTAGACCGTCCCGATTAGTGTCCCAGTAAACCATCCCACGATGATAGAATTGAAAAGTGTATTCTTGGCTTTTAACTGAAGTTGTAGAGCCCATAATACTTTTCAACATGAAAAGTTTCTTCTCCTCCATTCAAATTCAGATAATTCGAGTGTAAATCTATTGTTGGTATCGTTTCTTCCGCGTATCCTCATCTCTCTCATGCTCTAGTCAAAGTTTTGGCGGGGTATTCATTTGGTTGCTGAAATGGAGATAGACTACGTCATAAATGTAGGCTTGAAGAAGAAATTGATTTGGTAGGGAGTCATGAATAGATGATTGGTAGACTAACTTCTTTGGTATTGCGAAATTTGAATGAAAGCAGCTCTAGAAAAAGTATTTCACTTCCAGATTCGTGAGGGACAGGGGGAATAGGCGTGCAGTCTGTGGCTATGTTGATCAGGTAGGTTTTGACAGTGTACAGGCCTAGGATAGTTATGCCTCAGGTATTGTTGCGATCTGCCTCCTATACGACTCCCACCCCACACAAATCTTCAACCCATTAAAGAAGAAGTGGACCCATGTCCCCCACTAAATCTAGCCAAGGAAAAAAAGGCAAATGTTTGCGGGGGTGTAAGGGCCGGGTAGAAAACGGTCAAAAGCGTAGTTGGGGGGTGCCCGGTCCTCAATATGAGGACCAAGTGCAAAGAAATCGATGAGGTGGATGCTGGGAGCTCTGCATGGTCTGTACCGAACACGTCCAGATTCGCTACTTGAGATTAGCCATGAGCCGCACGTAGATGGCAGAAGATTCATGACACAAGTGTAGGCCGGAAGCCGGGAAAGTGTATCGTCTTTAAGCGGTCCGGGAAGTGGAGCGAGGTGTTGACTCAGAGAAAAGAGAGGCGAAAATGGGTCCGGCGAGCCTCTGATGAGGGCTCAAGGGTGGTGGGGAAAATGGCTTACAAATGTTAAGTCTTCATGGGTACGGTCCGTATTTGCCCCAAAATAAGCAAAGACGGAGCGCTGCAGCTAGCTGGCGCGGGGGCGTCAGTGTAGACGCGCCATAACTCTGGTGGGAAGGATGGACAAGATGCAGATTTCCTTTTCCTCGCTGCACATACGTGAGGGGAGGAAGATTTTTCCGTAGCGATGGATGGTAGGGCTGGCTGGGCCGGACGCGATTCTTTCTCCCGCTTGGCCGAGGCTGAAGAGTGGAGAAGAAGAGCTGAAGTAGCGGAGGGAACGAATGTTTGAATGCCATCACACTAGCTGTGAGAGTTGTCAGCGCAGCGAAGCATTCGGGGTAGATGAATGGCTTCGCTCCCCATACAAGCCCACGTGATCCCAGACGGACGGTTAGTGCTCGGGTAGGAGAGCTGGAAGAGTTTGAAAAGGAGGGTGAGGGGAGAATATACTGGACGGGGCCTAGGCAGACAAGACTTGCGGTCCTGGGCTGTCATCGACCCATGGCCAAAACAAACAGCCCCACAAAACGCCGTGGCCTCAGAGAAGGCCCAGTTATGCGGGAAAATGGAGCCTGCTGGGGCCTCTTGCTGGCTATGGGAATCCCGGGTGCGGCGCAGCAACGAAGCAGCGGCATGGGGAAGTCTTGAGCAAGAGAAGCAAGCAAAAGAAAGCCGGTGATTGTGGGCGGTGCGAGGGAGTCTAGCCTTGTCTTGGGATCATCTGCACAGCTGTGAAGCTTCAGCCAACGATCAGGGTCTTGCGGGCATATTAGACGGCACGAATACACCTCATCTCCGAGAGGTATTCGCAGCTGGACGGTGAGGAATATTTATTTAGTCCGCGGCGTTGGCAGCAAACAAAAGTTTCAAGAAGTCGTAGAACATGGGATGGGAACCCAGCGCGGATCAGTGAAGACGTCAGCGTCAGATAGGCCGGATCGTTCCCAGACTTGTGCAACGAGAGCGTCATTCCCGCGCTCGTCGTGACGCCCTTGGGCCGGTGAGACTGGAGAAGAGTGCATTCGGCCTGCGTTTCAGAGATCGGCGAGTGCAGCTCGGGCCGCGGCTGTCGACATTGACGCTGAGACACTGGCGGCGGGATCAGAGTTGCTATGCGCCGGGGGATTGGCAGTGACGAGATGTGATGACCCGGATACGCGCTTTCGCCAGACATGAAGTCAGACTCTCAGTCGATCGTTGACAACGAGCTCTCCTGTCAAAGATGACCAGCAACCCGATCACGTGCCATGGCTCACAGCCGGAAACAATGAAAAGCTACGACAAGGCAGTAAGTTTTGGCGTCTTGAGTCCTACTAGGGATTCGTGTTAGCCAGACGTAAAATAATAAAGCAAACCAATGAAAAGCTACGATAATCGACGAGAAAATAAAAGTAAACAGGTAAAAAGCAGTCACTAGTCGAATGCATGGCTGCACCGCCACCCACCAGCCACGTTCTGGCCATTCCGCGACCCGGTATGGCAGCCGCTCGTCTATCTGGGCCGCCTCGCGCCGCTGACCACGGGTTGGCTCGTTACATACAGACCGAGGGCAGGTCAGCGGGCAGCTGAGGCTCTTCTGATGCGGCGCCGGAGCCGGCGGAGACACGACGTTCCATGGTGTCGGACGAGTTGCCGACGCGGCGCAAGGATAATGCCGGTGCGCCGTCGAGGCAGGAAAGAACCGTCAGGAGGCTGCATCGAGTCGCTCAGCTCGCGACCTGGCGCCGCGAAACGTCGCATTGCCTCGCATGCGCTTGGTCGGGGAAGTGCTGTCGCCGCGGCCGGCGCCCGAGTCCTGGTCAAGGAGCAGCCAAGGACCAACGGCGCCCCGCCACTCTCGCCCACCAGCAGCTCTCAGCGCACGTCGGGCCTCCTGGCCACCGCAGCTGCAGTGCCCGCAATCCCCCTGACTGCGCGCCCTGTGGTCACGCTGGATCCGCCTCGCTCGGGGCGGCCAATCAGCCCCCCGTCGCCCATCCGCCCATTCCGACCTTTCGCCGCGCCGGCCTCGCCTCTGATTGGCCACCTCGTCTCAGGGTGCCCGGCTCTCCAACAAACGCCAAAATTGTTTCACGCGAATATAGGGAGACGGGCGTGGCTCTAGTAATCCCCTCTGTGAGCTGCCTAGGACCGGAAGGGCTTGGCTTATTATGCCGTCCCTTCCCTCATTGCCTGTTTCTCGCACAATCCTTCTCATCTACTTCTACGCCGTCTCATCTCCAAACTTATTCCATCAACCTCGCCCTCATATCTCAACTTTCTCCACGCGCCTTTTACGTGCCATCGGATCAGTCTCCGCAACTGCTCGCTCGCCCCTCATCACCATCGACGTAGCCTTAGTCTCTTTCATTTCGCGCTGCGACAACGGCGAGCTGGATTTCCCACACCCACCATGTTTGCCGCCTCTCCCACCACCCACGCCTCATGGCGCTCATACTCGTCATATTCCAACACCTCCTACTCAGATCCATCATCTTCATCCTCGGCCTCGTCGCCCATTTGCGCCTTTCCCTCGTGGCCGCGTCGCAGCTCGCTAAACTCGGACGATCATACTATGTCCAACTACTCGCTACCCTCCAACTCCTTCATCACTGACGAGGAGCTTTTTCCACCCGACAAGCACTCACCCATCTACGCGCCACCTATCTCTCCCATGAGCATGTCGCCCGCCTCGATCACCCAAGAAGAAACCCTCCGCCGCTCCAACGCTGCTCGTGTTCACGTGCACGATAAAAATGCCCGCGATTTGGTGCGCGAGCTCGTCGAGTTGGAAAAGGCGAAGCGTGGCGTGCTGAAGCGTCGCAAGAGTTCTGGTGCCTCCAAAAAGTCGCGTAGCGGTAGCGGTGCGAGCAAATACATGTCCCCCATCACCGAGTAGTTTTTGCCACTCCGAGCTTGCCGTCTGGATAACCACACTGGCTTTTCGACGAGTCGAGTCCTCGCGCCATTGCCTACGTCAACTATATCCTATGCCACACACATGCAGACTCGAGAAGAAATAATGAGTCGACTCACCAATCCAATCCCCAAGAGGCGCGAAGACCAGTTGTTCGCAAACGCTCGACGTTGGCTCCCTCGCTGTTGACTCCTCTGCCTTGCAGTAGCTATGTCTCTCAGCATCACTAGCCTAACCTACCAAGCCTCGGCCTCATGCCACCCTTAATTCGAAACTGCAGGACAGATTTCACAGCGCTTTAAGACATGCGCTTTGAGCTCTACAGCCACCAAACGAGCTACGTTCAAGCAAAGCCCTTGAGAAGAGCATAGAGAAATGAGGCCGCCTAACACGGCATTCTCGTCGTGCTGGAGACCTGGCATCTGCCACGGAACTCGGAAATCTTGCTCAATTCTTCATGACCTTAGCCTTCATCAAATTGATGATTCACTTTAGATATATTTAATTGTAACTTTAATATTCCACGTTCGCCTCATTCCAACTGCACTTACAGTGATGCTAGACGCGCCCTTCCGTTCCTACCCGTAAACCCATGCTTGTCTGGATATCTGCCAGACCACTAGGTGTAGGCGTCTGAGCCAGTCCTGATCTCCGATTGAATAAGACCGCGGCCGTGGGCCAACGGGAAAAACACTGCTACTGGGACACTCGTCGCGCTATGACACTGGTAGTCAAGAGATGCACGGACGCCAAGGTATGCAGTCGTAGGGAGCCCTGAGCGGACAAGTGTGAGATGTCTGCGGTATCCTGCTTCTCGGCCCGTTTGTCGGCAAGAGGCCAACCTTGTTGACTGTGTCCCGAACAGTTTATATCCCCTTCTCCACTCACATAAGCAGCACCTCTTGACTCTAGCAGCGATACAATTCCCCCAAGGACACAGTGAAATGAGTCTGGCCGTGTTGCGGCCGAGAAGAAAGCGACTTGGCTCCTTTGCTTTTGGTGGCACAACGGGATCATGTGCGACACTCCTCCGACGCAGCCAAAACCTTCCTCTCCGCCCTTTCGACACGTCTTCTGTGTGCCATGCCATGAATACCCTTTGGTCCCGCTCACTCCCCGCGCCCTCTCAACGTGGAGCCAGCGAGTCTGTGGCCAAAGTGTCCGCGTCGTCGTGGCTGCGACCAACCTCGTCCAAATCGATCGTCGCCATTGGCCCACTCGTCATGTGCGCATATACGCCTGAGGCATTAGCCCTCAGACCCGACGAAATATCGGCCTGGGGTTCAATTGAGGCCGAGCGCCTTTACCCCACCCTGAACATCCTTAACCTTAACCCGGTAAATGCTCGAGACATTTCATGATTTCGTCTTGCCTCTCCTCAGACATACCAGATACTGATTCTCAGGGTGCACTTGGATCAAATTCGATAGCTTGCTCCTATGTAACCCAACTAACCTTGAACCTGAGGGCCGCAGATCTAGTAACTCTAATGACCACAGACTTGGCGCCCTCGAGACGCCGGCCAACCGGATTCGCAGCAACCAACATTATGACTTGATCGTGGCAGAGAGGTCTAAATAAGCGCCGACGTATGTACATCCTCATCTCACACGAGACAACCCCTCACCAAACCAGCTGCCTCGACTTGGGGAAGCTCGGAACCAACACAACATTCGAAGTGGACTACGCCGCCATTGGTTCAAACTGCTTCTCCCGCCGTCGAACTTTCGACTCGCGACTCGCGAAACGCAACTGACCCTGACCTCCTCATCGCTGCACATCAGGGAATTGAAGGGTATCTGAAAATACGTGCCCGCTGTCACGCCGATGTTTTTTACAAAAGAGAGCCCTAGAAACTACACCGCCCGTGCGCCCCGAACACCCTTCATCCGACCCCAGGGTCTTCGGCGCCATGATTGAACACACTTCTTCCGGATGACAACCTTATCCCATCGCCTTCCCGACAGCTCTTGTGTCTGGATTTGCCCCCTTTCTGAACCGCCATACTTGGCCCACAAGCTTGGTTGTTTCCGGGGAAAAGTGACAATTTCCGCTCGTGTTATATATGATGCTCAAAGAATTAGCACCCACTGAATCATCCTAGTGGAAGCTGGTAGCAAGGAGCCGTAACCTTTGAGAGAGACTTGTTCGCAACAAGTTCCGCCAACGCTGGTGGAGAGGATCTGCACCCATAATCATGTGTGCACTGAGTCTGAGCCATGGCTACTTGACACTGCCAAGGTATGTTGTTGTTAATCGTCCGAGTGGTGAAAAGAGGCTAATGATTATGAGGGTCCAACCAACTTCTTATCTACACCCAACACAGACGTCCCGTGAGACGCGGGTAGTAGAGAAAGAAGAAACTACTTTTCCTGAAAAATGGCTAACTTAGGCCCGCAGCTAATATGTTGACACATCCTTCTGCCACACTACGATGCCAATTAATCGGCTACCCTAAATATACCATACTTCAAAAATTCGAATATGGCAAGCAGAGATGGATGGTCCCCGTTTTGCCCAGGCTTGGAAAACGATAGTACCCCTTAACCTTCATTGTCTCAACTGGCCCCAACCTAATCAACAACTCCATCCTACTGTTGTGGGCTCGGCGTAGATGGAACAATTATTAGACGGATCTGTCTAGAATCCACTTACTCTTCTTCCTGCTTTCTAAACCTTAGTCGACCGCAGAATGGCAGAACCACATGAGACCTAATGCTCTCCTTCGACCAACCCTGTTGAATATCCATTTCGTCGCTCGTCCAAATCTTTGCTGATGTCGAATTGCTCCGCGGCGGCGTTCGTGCAACCTATAGATGGGCGGGATATGGGTCTCCTCGGTAGTCTCGGAGAACCTCAGTGCTCGTGTCTCTCACATACGCTGCATCTCTACACTCCCTGCTTCATTTCCTCGCTCGGTCCCAACACGCTCTACATCCCCGTGGACTCCCCGGGCCGTGCGTTATGAGCCCCATTACAAGCCGACAATGGCACGGACATGGCCAGCTACACTTAGATCTCGAGCCGTACCGTATCGGGCGGGACCAAGTGCTCACTCTTCCTCTGGCCTCATCTGCTCACGTGATCTCTGGCCTCTTAGCGACTGACGCCGGCTCAAGACGAATGCATTTTGGATAGCACAATATGCTTACGGTATACTTCTTTCAATCGAGCCTATTTCATGCATCTTTTCCATTTGAACATGGAATAGAAGTGGCTGGTGTGAGAATAACAAGGCATATCTATTGTCACTATTATTCTTCTCGTAATCATTTTTGATGTGCTTATTAGTCTAATCATGACATCGCATCCTTGTTGCAAACACGATTCGCTCATCTTTTTTGTCTCGAATTCTGACTCGCCCTGGTACCGATTTTGACTACAGACCCCATTCCAATCTCACACAGACACATACTCCGCAAAAGCCGAGCTTGTGACATTATGCCCCATGGTGCCGTGGAGCTTTACCCGGCCTCTGTGGGGACCCTATTTCTCATCTTCAGCCTAGAGCCATCTATCTAACCTGCGGGCGCCCTAACTGCGACACCTCTCGGCGTCGTTGCAACGCGGTACAGCGCTCGAAACCCTCACTCATACAGATATCCATGAACGAGACGTACATTGTCAACTGGTCTTGCTATTCAAGTCACTGGCAAAACCTAGTTCCTATAGAGTAGATAATGACCCCTCAGTCATTGAGGTTGTAGAGCGCGTTGATTCAAGTAACTACCGAAGTGAAACTAAGTACAGAATTTGCAGTCACATGTGTATCAACAACGTGGCCTCCTTGACAGCCCCGATTATTCTCAATTCTAATAGTTCCTATATTATCTTGACGACACCCACGATGCGATATAATGTTTCAAATGCTTCCATCTCCGACGAGGATGCTAGAAGGCTATTAGAATATAAGACGGATCTTGGATGGCTAGATAATGACAACAAGCGGAGTAAGATGCAAAAATCAGCTTAGCCCTACACGGCGTGTTGTGGTTTGGTTTGTCGCACTACTTGAGTTTATAACTATCTTGCGCATTAGGCTCTCCTCTGACCCAGGCCACACCTCGTACAGTGTGACAGGCTTACTGCCTTGTATGGTTAGAATTGGAGTTATCCGATTCTATTTGTAAGGATTTCACATGACGTTATCTGGTGGTCAAGTTCGGAGTGGCTTATGTAAGGCTCGGCATATCCATAAACGCGTAGTTCATTTAGCACATTCTTTACGTATAATATAAAGTCCATTTTGGATTCACTCGTGCCAACAGATAGTGTGATCAGTCCTTTTACACAGTGGTCCCTTTTCTCGTTTTTTACTTCAAAGTGTTGAATGGCTAGGGAGGTAGTATACAAATTTGGAGTTGAATGAGGATACCCACGGGGGTTTTTTAATTAATTTGATGTGTGTTCAGCTATTTAGCTATGACGCATGATCGGTGCTGTATTTACATGATGGATGACTCTTTTGACGTCAAAGACGCTCATACTCGGGGGTTCATTCGCAAATACCACTACGAGGCATGCTTACTTACACAAACAGTCGACCCTCCTCCGTAAGTACCCACCCATGGGAAATTCAAAACATTTGATCATCCATGTATGCTTTTGTCATCCATGTAAGCTTACACTGCTGAGGGCAAGACTGAACACCTGTACGCGGTGTCCTCTACAAACCTGGGAGTGAAATATTCTCCCAGATCCAAGTTCAGTCAAATTTCGCAATATCAAAGAAGTTGGCCCACGAGGCAAAATTTCAAGTTACTCCGCCATGTCAATCTTTCACTCTCAAAGAGTCCGATTCTCAACTAAGCTTCATCAAGTCTACAAGTACGACGTAGTACATCTTCATTCCAATGACCACGCCTCTCATCGACTTTCTCTGGCCTCAGCCGGTCACCAAATACACGCCCACGTCGATATTTATACCCGACGGAGGAAGCAAAGCGTGGAGCACAAATCTGAGAGATAGCTCTTTGGGATGGACGTGAGAGGAATCAGGACAAGTTTACAAGATGATGCAGAAGAGGGATACATTTTCGACGGGCGTGAAATTTCGAATTTTGGCAAGATTTTTATGAATTGAGCTTTGTGCGCGCCAAGACTTCGCTTGCGAGGGTACAGCTGACACTATAAAAATAAGCCAACGATGGAAGGTGTTGTGATCCGCCTCCTGGTGGTGTTCTCTGGTATGGTTTGAGTAGCCTGGGCACCTACTCCACTTGGGAAGGAAACATCTCAGATTACATTTCGCGTGGAGAAAATCTGATGGATGACGGAGGCATGTCTGGATAACTCAGGGTTTTTGAGACGTTCCCCTGGGTGGGTATTCACGGATGAGGGTTGACTTGGGGTGAAGAAAAAGCCACCATAACTTCGCAGTGGTACTTGCAAATGAAATCTGAGGCATGAGTGCTCTTCCTTTACGTTGAATCATCTATTCTGTACTTTTCTTTGATATTGTGTCATAGCTAGATAGCTGCATACGCAATTAAAATCTGATGCAAAAAAAAATAAAGCTTACACTGCGAGATATGTGGTTATCATGTGTCGGATTTGAACCAGCATTCTCCTGTCTCGAGTGGGAAATGTGTCCAAGCTATCCAGACTCCACATGGAAGACTGGCCAAGACGATGTACCACTGCACCATCCAGCCATGGTGGTGTTTACAGTTTCGCCTGCACTCTCGCAACCGAATTCTTGGCGCACGCACAAAGCTCAATATGTAAAATTTCAAAGTTTCACGTCCTTCTGGAACACATCCATCATTTGCATCAACCTGTCCTGATTTCACCCACGTCCATCTCAGAGAACTGTCTTCCAGCCTTGTGCGCCACTCTTTGCTTCCTCCGACTAGTGCAAATATCAGCGTGGGCGTGTATTTGGCGACCAGCTGAGGCCAAGACAAAGTTGACGAAAGGCGTGGTCATTGGGATGAGGATGTACTAGGTCGTATCCGTAGACCTGATGAGGCTTAGATAGAAGTCGATTCTGTTGGAGGTGAAAGATTGATATGGAAGTGTACTTTGAATCATTGCCTCGTGAGGGGGACTGTTCTCAACACCTGTCAGTGGTGTCCCCTACGAACCTCCAGCTCTCACTGTAGAGTCTGCAGAGCCGAGATTGAGTAACAAAGTCCTCACTTCGAAGAGGATTCCCAATCGCTTTCGCGGTCTGTATCGTCTTCATCTCTCAACACATTCCCCTATCACCACTATCATGAAGCTAACCACGATCAGATCAGATGGTAGGGTCGGAGCCCTACTCGTCACCCACCCTTGATCATGGAGGAAAAGCCATCCGATGAGTTTCCGGAGCGTACCCAGCACCCGATACGGAGATGGTGGATTGGATCAAGTCGACCTCGACTGTTACAAAGAAGGGAGATATAGATGAATATGCGCACCTCATGTGGTCCCGGTGTCTAGGCCTCGCCTGGCTGGGGCTGCAGGATTTTTGAGACTTTTTCCCGCGCACGCAGTTTCCATTGCTACCATTTTTATTTTTTTTGGGTAGAAGGTTCCGTGTAAAAGGTGGCTGAATTCCACGGGTAAACACTGAGCTGAATGGCTATTCATCAAGGGGAATATATCAATGATCTTGCGAGTAACAAAAGAGGATAGGAGCACTGTACAAGGTGTGGCCTGGGTCAGAGAGGAGCCCAATGTGCTAGATAGTCATAGACTCAAGTAGTACAATAAAACACACACACACACTCATTGCCTCGTGTTACGGGATTAATCCGTTGGGTTTGCACTGGCTGCAGCAGTACAGCAGGGATGGAATATAGGGCCTAGCTAGCTATGAGGGCTACCAATGTTGCGGTCTAGATGCGGTTGCTTAGCAACATAGATTGTTACGATCGGCGCTGATAATTATAATTCCCGATGTAAACAGCGAGAAGTTGAAATCCGCTGTCTCCGGTGCTCACTAACCACTTTTATTCTGGACTTGTTCGGCTGTATACCAACACCAATTGATCCGGCGACACGTCGTCGGCCATCTTGATCAATTTGGCCAAATTCGACTGAACTTGGCTCAAGGAGAACTCTTCGCTACCAGGTTCGCAGACGACACCACGTGCAGGTGTTTTGTCGTATCCTCCTCTACGGAGGTTTGGCCTTGTGGAAGCGCTGATGAAATTATGCTACTCATTGAATTTTACAAACCCTTGGAATGTATTTCCATTTGCCGTGCGTTAAATGCGTTGCCTCTCTCCGTTGCTGTGTCATTTTCGTGATGGCTCAGCTAATACAACAAGCTCCACGCTTCTAATGTTTCGATCGAGAGAGAGAGAGAGAGAGACATAATGCAAACTTCACTTTTGTACCTTTCGTTTTGTATGGAATCGAGCCAACCTCGGCACAACTTTAGGCCATTCGAGACAAACCATACCTGTAATTCGTAAACAGAGCTCTACACGTTAGCTTCATCACCTATCATAGCGTGCCTTCTCACTTGCCGCAATAGGCGTCGCATAACAATAAAGCTCCCTAACTCCGGCGGCTGAGAACTCTTTCAAAACTCCCTCGCCATATTTCACCTTGTTTTCGGGGGGGGCTATTCTCAACACCTGTCAGTGGTGTCCCCTACGAACCTCCAGCTCTCACTGTAGAGTCTGCAGAGCCGAGATTGAGTAACAAAGTCCTCACTTCGACGAGGATTCCCAATCGCTCTCGCAGTCTGTATCTTCTTCATCTCTCAACACATTCCCCTATCATCATTATCATGAAGCTAACCACGATCAGATCAGATGGTAGGGTCGGAGCCCTACTCATCACCAACCCTTGATCATGGAGGAGAAGCTATCCCATGAGTTTCCGGAGCGTACCCAGCACCCGATACGGAGATGGTGGATTGGATCAAGTCGGCCTCCAATGTTACGAAGAAAGAAGATACAGATGAATATACGCACCTCATGTGGTCCCGGTGTCTAGGCCTCGCCTAAAGGTGGCCGAATTCCGCGGGTAAACACTGAGCCGAAAGGCTATTCATCACGGGCAATATATCAATGATCTTTCAAGAAACGTGAAAGGCAAGGAGCACTGTACAAGGTGTGGCGTGGGTCAGAAAGGAGCCTAATGTGCTAGATATTATTAATTCATTTTATTGTCCTGTCTGAGTCTATTACTGTGTATGA